TAGAGTGGCAAATATGTTTATTGGTTTTAACTAATGGAAATACAGCCTACCATAAATTTGAAATTATTATATAATTTAATTAGATATTGTTAATGCTTGCTGCTTAGTTCTGACCACAGACATCTCTGGTTTAGAACTATAGTTACTAAATAATGTGATGTCTGATATATTCTTACACTGTAGATATAACCAAATGGTTTTATTGCTGCTTTTGTTTACATTGCTTTGGGATTGGGATAAAATGTGTTTTTTTAGAGGACCAGATGTTAAGAGTTAGATATGCACCTTGCCTGCCAAAGATCTCTAATAAAAATTGATTAGAGATATTTGGTCTATAATAAGATATACAATAAGGCAAATATTACAAAAAAAAAAAAAAAGCAGGTGATCTCAGCCATAGGTGGTGTGATAACATAGTAGAGCAGGCAGACATGACTCAAGCTTGATCAAGGTGATGCCTGTGGAGGGGAAATCTAAATATAAAAGCAAAGAGGGGTAGTATGAAAATCGAGTGAGAGAAATATCTTCATTGGTTTTAAGAAATAAAAATACAGTCTGCCATAAATTTAAAATTATATATATTTTCATTAAACATTGCTAGTGCTTGCTGCTTAGTTCTGACAACATACTTCTCTGGTTTAGAAGTATAGTTACTGAATAAAGGTTTGCTGAGGTTTTACTACTAAAGCTTGAATTTTCTGCACTTGGTTCCTTCTGGGCCTGATACCCTTTCAGCAAGACAGTTGGAAATCCTCTGACTAAGTCCAGAGATCAAGCCAGGTTACAGAGAGAAGGAAGGATGTCACAGCGGGTGTGGTTTGGGGAAAAGTGTGCATTGGTGTACAGTGAAGCACACATAAACAAGGAAGCAATTGTAGTTGGGTTAAACTTAAGGTTTTGCCATTATCATGAAAAAGGTAAAGTGTTAGTGATGGTAAGAATGGGTAGGGATGTGTACTCCTTTGCTCAGATGGGTGTGTGCATTATGTGAATCAAACATAAGAAAGCTTGAATAGCCATATACAATAGCCACTATTTCTGTAATATTCACCCCATCTATATTTGCCCACAGAGCTAAAGGTATTTTTTTTTTATACAAATGAGCATCCTGTATTTTCATTACTGAAATGTGACCCCTAGCCAAGGCACAACAACCAACAATGTGTATTTATGATGATAGGTCAGGGCAGTACCATTATCTTCCTTATTTTAGTACTGGAGAGACATGCAGAACCTGGGAGGGGAGAGCAGGAAACATATGAGCAAGTAGCAGATGAAAAGGGAGGCATTGTTACAGAGCAGGTGGCATTGTCATTCTTGCCATTTAAAACTGTTTTACACTTTTACCTTCATATCAGTGCTATTCAGTGGTGGTCTGTGGACTTGAGCCAGTCTGTAAGCTGTGGGTCTGGGGAGACCTTCCTGGAAAGAAAGAAACACTTGTAGCCCATGGGCACAAATATGGTAGCAATCTCTAGCATATTAGGGGGGAAAGCCAGTCCCCCACCCTGATTGCCTAAGAACACAACTTTATACACTGGTTCAAAGGACCCACAGAGTGCTCCATAATGAGGGAACAGTTACATGGCTTAATTTAACATATCCAGGGATAGCCACATTGGTACAAAAACATCCAAAATTGATAAAACAGTGAAAGTTTGCAACATGTATTTTATGCATTTTGGTTGGCCCCAAAAAAATTATCACTGTTTTATGGCTTAATTTGAAACATATAAATCATTAGCTAATCAAAAGATTACTTAGTTTTACAATCACCTTAGGAGATCTTTGTTCGTTGCATTTATAATCTGTGTTTCTTCCTATGAGCTCAAGGCAGAATCCATGGTTCTTCTCCCCGCTTTATCTTCAGTACAAGCCTATGTGGTAGGTCAAGCTGAGGAAGAGTGACAGCTTCAAGACCATCCACTGTGTCTCAGAGCTCAGTGAATATTAGAACCCTGATCTTCCAAGTATTAGCCCAGCAATTTAATTACTAAATTAACTACTACTTTCAGGTACAAACTGTGTGTTACACACAAGCATATGCGACTGCAGCCGGATGCTCTTTCACTGGTCCTTTTGATAGCTAGTCCAGTAGGACAGAATTGAAAGCAGACTAGAACTCTATGATTTATTCAAAGATATAACTATGTTAATCTGTGATTTATTGTTCTATACCAAACAACAGCCACAAACCTTTCCCTGATCATAGAAAACAAGAAGGAAAGGCTGCAGCTGCTTTTTCAGACATGTGCTTTTCCACATGTCAGAAATTATTCACAGGATTCTCCATGTCCATTGGCCTGAAGGGTTTTTATCACAGGAGCAAATTTACCAGCTTATCTGTTTTGTGAACACTGTGCATTAGTCTTTAGGTGTATCTGTACAATTCTGTGAAAAATGGGAACAGTGAGAATGCCTGCTTCTTCCAAAGCATCATTAGTCAGTTAGCAAATTGTTTTGATGATGCATCATCAGTGCATCATCAGCAACTCTTTGCAGATCCTGTTTCCCCAGCCAGATTTAATTTTCCAAACAATATTCTTCTGTATGTCTTGTTTTGATTCAGGAGCAAAGTATGCTTATTGCAAAGCATAACAAGGCACAACACAACAGCATGTTCTGGGCCTCTCCCGAATCTGCTTCAGTTTATTTTTGATCCACGTCAGCCCCAGGCAAGCCATACTACTATTTTTAGTCTGACTCTGAACTGGTCTTGCTAGCCACTTCCAAGTGTAAAATGGGAGTAAGTGGTGTGTCAGCATATAGAGAGATCTTGTAGCACATTTGAGACTAACTAGAAAAAAAGAAATTGGCAGCATGAGCTTTCGTAGACTTCAGTCTACTTCCTCAGATGCATTTGGTGTGTCAGCAGTATGCAAGCAGGTCTCTCATTAGTATGAAATCCAGTATTGTCTTGGACACATGGATCAGGATGAGCTGCAGCCCCCAAGATTTTTTAATCCCCCACACATGCACAAGTGTACTGTTCCAGGAAATATGTTTATTTATCCTGTCTCAGCATTCATTTATATTATGTTTATTATGTGCTTTATTGCTACCTTATCTGTGCATGCCTCTCTGTTTTATCTCTACTCTACACAGTACAAATCTATATGTATCTACACAGAAGTAAGCCCCTCTGCCTTCAGGGGTTTTATTCCCAAGTAAACATTTCTCTCTCCAGCCCTCCTTTCAAGAGGAAAAAGTGGTGAGAGTTTGAAAGATTACCACTCGAGTCTCTGGAGATGGTATTGAAGTGGAATTACAACTCCTCCTGTCTCTTACCACACAACGTCGTTGCTGATCCATTGTTAACCAGTTGCTCTTTCATTGTTATAACACAACTTCACACTCACGAGAGATAACCATGAATGACCGCCAATCTCACTTTATTCATGCAACCACATGTCTGTAATTTAGCACTACAGTGTTGAGATTGTATTTTCCATGTTATGTGATAGTAGGCATGACTTCAACCATTCTCCTCGGATCAGTTACATCATGCCACTTCTGATCTTTATTCTCTTTGTTCTAGGAAGGGTGCACATCCTGCAGTTAGTGAGCTTTTGATTTTCCCTCTATAAATAAGTTATTTTAAATTTTGTTATTTTAAATATGTTGTTTTATATTTTGAAAATTTTAGGTAGCTTTATGTTTTCTTTTCCATGGAGAGCTGGTGGAGTGTGGAGTGCACAGAAAACAGATCATGAACATATTTGTCAATCCTGGAATTAACAATAATGCAGAAAGAACTGTTTCTATAACATTATTGAAAATGTTGCAATCATGTGAAAAGCATTGCACAAATGCAATGCAAAAGCATGCTTGTGTGGTCATCTCCTGAATTTTCTTCCGATGACCAACTACTGTGAGTGTGACCACTGAGATTACATGGTCCTCTCTCAAATCTCCAACACTGGATGTAGGAAGTGGTCCTGGTGAAGATCTTGAGATCCTCACAAAATGTTGCAATGGAAGTCTTAGGGTCTGACTTACACGAAGCAGCAACAGCAGCAAAGGCTCTTTCCTAAGCCTGCCAGCCCATGGTACCTTAGATCATGCCAAAGCAGCATCACCTCTGTACCTATCTTCCATTTGCCAGTGTTGAGGAATATGCACTCCTTGCTTACCAGCTTCCAGTCTAGAAAAGGAGGGTGAAAGCAGCTCCTGTGAAAATAACAAATCAACTTGCCACCTACCTGTCCCCAATGCAGGATCAAAGATGAGACTAAAGGAGGGGGGGAGACAGATGAAAAGTCCGGGGGGGGGGAATCAGAACAAAAGGTCATTCATTTTATACCAAGTTTAACCTGTCAGAGTAGGAAAAAGTGAGGGTTTGATGTGGAAGTCAACAAATGTTGTGTTTTAACACTGGGCTAGAAATGGGCTGAAAAACCTTTTCAGCTCCATGTAGAATGGCCCCAGAGGCAAATGGTGGCAAAAGTTTGTATAAAAATTGCATATGTTTATAGTTTAGTTTATAGCTATACATACAAATTTAGAAGTAATTACCATACTAGAAACAAAAATGAAGTAAATCTACATGAGAGAGACTGTGACCAGATGACTCTTGCATGCCTGTGCAATCTATAGTCCAGATGCTAACCTTGAAAGGCAAGTTTAAGGCCCATGCTGTTACTTTTTAAATTTTTTTTAATGTTTAAACTCTTTTTGGCCATGCTGGACAGCCCGTCAAATAGAAGAATGGTAGCGCTTCAATTAAGGCTCAAATTCCTTAAATATGGCCACCGTACGGTCAGCCTGGTTAGAATAGTATCAATAAAACCTTATGAGTGTTACTAAGGTCACATCCAGACTGATTCAAAAGTCCCAGATTTTGTTCCTGTTCTTTCTGATTTATTCTTGTTGTTGCTGCGTGCCTTCAAGTCATTTCTGACTTATGGCGACCCTATCTTGGGGTTTTCTTGGCAAGTTTCTTCAGAGGGGGTTTGCCACTGCCATCCTCTGAGGCTGAGAGAATGTCACCCAATGGTTTTCACAGCCAAGTTGGGAATCGAACCCTGGTCTCCAGAGTTGTAGTCCAATGCTCAAACCACTATGCCATGCCAGCTCTCTCTGATTTTATACTGGGTTAAAATAAACTGACCTAGGGTAGTGGTATAAAAAGTCTCTGATTGGGCCAGGAGCTGATGGAAAATATTCTGGGATATTCAGTATGGATCTCCAAAATAAAATTGGAAAGAAGGGGGGCGGGATCTGGGACTTTTTGATCTTTTTAATCAGACTGGGTGCATGTTCTGGAATGATGATCTTTTCTTTCATTCATTTCCAAACTATGTCCCCTAGGAAACTATGTTGTTGTATGCCTTCATATTGTTTCCGACTTATGGCAACTCTAAGATGATCCTATCACAGGGTTTTCTGGGCCTGGGAATGTGTGACTTGTGCAAGGTTACTCAATGGGTTTCCATGCTAATACACAGGGAGACATAATTTAACAACATGTCCAAAGGTGTTTGCAAGCCCAAGAACTGATTTACAGATGAAAGTACCTTATGTGAATCTGAATGAGTCACAGCTCTGGACTCTATCCCATTCCAATCAGTCTCTTCTGGTAGCAGGTTCTGTTATGTCATTTCATGAGTGTTATGGAATCATTCACTCAATTCTAACAGGTAAAACATAACTACCTTTCCCCAGAGAAGACTGTCGATTGCAGCTTTGTACACAACATGATCAGAATCACAGGAGTCCACTTAGCAGAATGATCAGGTGGTCCCTTAAAAGTAACAAGACTGTTTTATCACATTTTGAAGTAAGTGAAACAATACACATCAATACAGGAGAAGAGGGAGTCTCATAAAACCATGAATCCAAAGTGTAAGAGCAAAACAGCATATAACACTTAAAAGAAGCAGAGAAAATGTTATCCAGTCAATAATTTGCAGAGGGGAGTTTTAACCCATTACCTTCCTAGTAATGATCCTGAAGAAAATTTTCTTGACCCAGATATGACTATGAGACCTAGAAAGAAAGAAAAAATCCATTGGTGCCAATGAGAGCTTTCCCTACTAAAACCTACAGTCATGCTGTGATTGATTTTAATCAGAATTGCTGCTGAAGACAAAGGGGGTAGGAAGCATCTTAAATCTTCCATCTACATATGAGACAATTCAGATTAAACTGGGGGAGTGGGAAATAAATATAATTTCTATTTTATTTATTAAAATATTATATTCCACCATATATCCAAAGATCTCAAGGGGGGGGGGGATAGAATAAAATCAGTATAAACAAATTAAAATGTAAAACAATTTAAGTCTTTACTTGCATTTTTTTTTTAAAAAGGGGTAGTTCCTAATATCACATTGGGCATCATGCATATTATCTGCATGTTTATCTTTCCTGCATGGATCTCACGGCGGTAGCTCCATGTTTTATTCTTACAATCACCTTGAGAGGTTGGTCAGTTTGAGAGAGAGAGCACTGAGTTTCATAGCTGGTTGGGGAGTAGAAATCTCAGGGGTAGTCTGCATTGGCCAAATAAAGCATCTTCTAACCACTTTGAAGGCTGGCTGTTTAGATGATGCATGAGACTAAACTGGACAGAAAGTGAGACGAAGCCATGCTCTGGGGCTAAAAACTGGAGCAAAAAGAAGCTGACTCAAGGTGAAAAATGTGCATCATCGCAAGGCATATAAACAGCCCGGCACCAGTACAGGACTGCAGCAAAGCAAAAATGCGATGGCCAATTATGCAATGAATGTAATTACAACGTACACAAACCAGATAGCCCAACAGGGAGGCATGAGGTGAAGAGGGGTGAAGGGGTCATGTATGGGAGGCCTCCATGATTGTGCTTTGCCAATGTATCACTGGGTCCATCGATACACCATACAGGCGGTGCATCACATGTGCTACTATGTGGCTGGTCATACGGGTGGAATAATGGAATAATGGAATGGCATCTGGGCAAGAAGAGGAAGGTAATTGGAGGTCACAGGCAGTGTGTTTGTGCAATGGTGCTTATGCATGGTGGGGAGGCAACAAAAAAAATAACCACATAGCATGGCTTGACACCACATGGTGTATAGAGCCCATGGGTGTCAGCCCAACTTGGGAGTTGGCTGTGTGGAGAGCGGGGTTTCAATCTGATTTCAGAAAATCCAGGATCGAGTCACTTTTTCCTGCCCATCTGCTCCAGTCCTCAATCAAACACTGCCTAACTACTATACACCACTGGCTTTCCTTTAAACAAATCTAATGTAATTTGTAACCACGTCATTTAGTTCATAGTGTAGTTGTTTGAGAGTTGGACTATGAGTCTGGTGCCTAAGGTTTGGATCTCCACTCAGTCATAGAAGCCAGTTGGATGATCTTGGGCAAGTCACACTCTCTCAGAGGAAGGCAAAAGCAAATCCCCTTTGAACAATAAATCTGGACAAGAAAACCCTGTGATATGTTTGCTTGAGGGTCACTCTAAGGAGATTACCACATGAGGCGCTAGTGATGGAATTGAAGTGGAATTATAAGCTATGATTCCTCTCCTTTTTGCGCCATGTCATCACTCTTCCATTGCTGATCCATTGTTATACCATTATTATTGCACAATTTTGCATTGACAGATATCTCTTGTTAATGAGAAATTATGATAATAATGGTGATAATAATGGTATAACAACAGATCAGCAACAGATGAGTGCCGATGTATGAAAAAGAAAGGAAACATCAATTATAATTCCATTTCAATTGCATCACTAGTGCCTCGTGTGGCAATCTCCTAAATCAGAAACAACTTGAGGGTACACAAGTTTAGTCTTAAAATTGTCATGGTTTGGGAGGCTGTGGCCTTCACATAGAATCCCAATTTCCATCAATCTCCATCTGCCTGACCAGTGGTAAAGAATGATGTTCATTGACATCTGGACAACCTGGCTGGAGCACCTGGAATCGTCCAGATGTCAATGAACATCATTCCTCAGCACTGGTCAAGCAGATAGAGGCTGACAGAAATAGGGATTCAAACATTATGTGAAGGGCCCAGCCTTACCAAATCTTGACCCAGAACTACCAAGATGCCTGATGTTAGGTCAGGCAGTTTGTTCGCCAAGGATATTGGCAGAAACCTTTTCCATTATATGCTGCCTGATCTTTATAACCAGAATTATAAGGGCTCAAGCATGGGACTTTCCCTGTGAGTCATTACTTTGCACACAGCTCCTATCAGTCAGATGAAGGCACAGAAAGACCAGTGATTCATGCAAAACATCTTTTGGTGGAAGGGAGTAGTCCTTTGTGGGCCAGCAAAACCTTTTGCAGGAATAAATAAACTATAGGCATCCAATTTTAATGTAGATTATCAGAAGTTTGAAAAACTCAGACTATACCTTTTGGAATGGGTGAAGTATCAGCCATTTGCACTTGCATAACCTTGCCTCTATTTCTGTGAACAAATAGAGCTACCAGGAAACCGACCAGGAAGTGCAAACCAGAAAATCATATGAGCTTGGGTTATGCGGATTGTGAAGTATTAAAAAAAAAAAAAGGAGTTCCTCATTTGTATATTAACCATTGAAAAGGAAAGATTCTGTATTGGTCAGCCTGTTCACCTGCTGTCATGTCCAGATTCTTTTCTTTTTACAACTGGAAAGTCAGACCATTTTAGCTGTAGTGTTTTCATTCATTTAGAAGTAATTCTGTTCAACCCATACAAACAGAGCCTGGGAAAGTAACTTTTTAGGGTTTAACTCCCAAAATACCCCAGCCATCCTAAGCAGTTATAGTCCCTAAAAAAATACTGGTCTGGGAGTTATAATCCAAAAAAAAAAAAAAATCCCAAGGTTTAAAATAAAAAAGAGGACGTTACCATACCAGGGTGCTCTTGCACTGTGTTTGTGCAATTTCTTTAACATGATAACAATAGTAGCAATAATGGTATGAAAACACTTATTTCTGCATTACCTTTTAATGGCATGATAGTCCTTGCTTCATGATGAATGTTTGGTTTTAGTTATCTTATATGTTATTTAAAATGTTGTAATCAGTGTTTAGTTTAATTCCTTTTTAAAGGGGGGTAGATATTGTTTTTAGGACTGTATGTATGTAACTGTTGTTAGCCGCCCCGTTTGCACTCAGAGGGGTGGGGTAGAAATATTATTATTATTATTATTATTATTATTATTATTATTATTATTATTATTATTATTATTATTATTTCTGGTCTTGGTTTTCCACACAATATACATTACCCCAGCCTCCTCCCTGCTTTTTCCCCTTGCTTTGCACATACATTTTTAAAAATTATTCTGAAATCTCTCAATGATGAAATCAGACTGGTAGTCAGGAGATTCTTCGGGTAACTCATTTCCGATTATTCAGGATTCTAGACTTCCTCGCTGTTGTTTTAAGTTTCAGAATCAGTGGTTCTGTAGATGGTTGAAAATTTTTATAGGATCCATTGATGCTGGATAATAGAGCTTGTTACCACCTACAGAACCACTGATTCTAAAACTTCAATCTAGAATCTAGAATTGATTCATTTCCAATGATCCAGGATTCTAGAGATCCTTGTTGTTTTAAGTTTTAGAATCAGTGGTTCTGTAGATGGTAACGTGCTTCAGCATCAATGGATCCTGTGAAATTCTTCTCCATTAAACTGGACGTTTTGTGATATAACAGGGAAAATGTTCATGACATGCCCACTCACATGATGCCACTACAGCAATTCACACTTTCACAATCACATGAATGCAGCAATATTGGCGGTTATTGGTGGCTTTCTCTTATGAATGCAAAATTGTGTGATAATAACCATAGGACGACTGGCTGGTAACAGATGAGTGCTGACGTCGTGCGAAAAGGGAAGGAATCACATGTTGTAATTCCACTCCAGTTCCATCACTAGCACCTCTTGCAGTAATGTCCAGAAAGATAGATATAAACATATTGTAACAGAACATTAAACTGAACAATACACTTTTTCATACTATAGTCTCATCTACACTAGAGAAATAATGCAGATTAACACCACTTTACATGTCACGGCTTCATCCTATGGAATCCTGGGATTTGTAGTTTGTTATGGCACCAAAACTCTCTGACAGAGAAGGC